ATATATATATATATATATATATATATATATATTTTAATGGCTAAACGTTTCACTTTTAGGTTGATGTTTTTATGTATTAGTAAGTAGTAATATAGTAAATTGACCATAAAGCAATGCATACTTAAATCTAATATTTTTTCTTTAAATTTTTATTAATAATTAATACAAAATATTAACGACATGAACTATTTAAGATGTATGTCTTATCTAGTTTTTGGTTAAGATAAAGTTAGTTACAAATATTTTTGGATCTCTTTTATGGATTGCTTATTGCAAAAATAATTTAATATTTTTTAAAATAATTATATAATGGGATTTGTAGTGATGATCATTGTTAATTACCTTCTAATTTGATTATTACAAAAGAGAGGAGAGTGAAAATTTAAATGTGTTTTAATAAGGTAGCTTATGAGATAAGCTTCAAGTCACTCCAATGAATAATAAATAGACATTGTTGATTACTTTCTCTCTCTCTTTTAGATTTTAAATCCATCTCTCTCTTCTAATTTAAATTTACAAGACCATAAAATAATTAAAAGAAGGAGAAGAGTTAAATAAAAAAAAATAGATATAAAATACTTACTCAATAGTCATAACTAAATTTTATGTTTGGAACTAAATTTGGTTGTTATTGAAAATATTTTTTTCAAACAAAAATTAATCTTATAATAAAATATTTAAATTCATGTACTAGAATAAAGAATTAACAATTTAAAATAATTAAATTCATAAAAATAAAAAATTATAATTTAAATCATACGTGTAAACTGAACAAAATTATAATTCATAAATAAATACTGTCATTAAAAAAAAAAAAAAGGAGAAACGAATTGCTTCTTTTAAAAGTAAAACAAGAAAAGAAAAGTGTTTATCGAAAAAACATAAATTTAGACAAACACAAAACAATTTTAAAAAAAAAATATTTTATTTATAAAATGTTTTTTTAAGAGAAAAAGTAAAATAAAAAGGTTTAGTATATATATGTAACATTAATTGGTTTTAATTTAAATCAATTATGATGTAATAAAGGTAGCTAATAAGAAGGTCCAAAATTGATTAATTGGATATACGAACCGTTTTAAATTTATTAGTTCACTTGATTTTTTTTTTTTTTTT